GGATTTCGATTTCGAATCGAAATCGATTTGAGTTCTGAATCGAAATTGAATTGGTTTCGATTTCGAAATCAAAAGGAAGAAACAAATAAAAATAAAAGGCGAAGAAGAAAAGAAATGAAAGGAAAAAGAATAGAAACGTTGTTGAAGAGGAAGAAGAAGACGAGGAAAAGGAAATGTTGGCGACGAGGGAGAAAGAAGGGGAGGGAAAAGGAGGGACGATGACGATGACGATGATAAGAAGAAGGAGAAGAAGGTAAGAATGAGAAAAAAAAAAAAAAAAAAAAAAAAAAAAAAAAAAAAAAAAAAAAAAAAAAAAAAAGTCGATTACTTATCTGCACGGAGGTAGCAACGGCGATGACGAGGATGGCACGGCGTGGCGACCAGGACGACGGGCACGGCGATGGCGACGTGGCACGACGACGACGATTGCGACGGTGACGATGATGACGTGGCACGACGACTACAATCGCGACGATGACGATGATGACGTGGCACAACGACAACAATCACGACGATGATGTGGCACTACGACAACGATCACGACAATGATGCTGATGATGGCCAGGTGGTGACGACGAAGCAGGGTGGGTCGTGCGGGTTTGAACCGCTCCGATACCATTGTGACGAGCGCGAGGCTGAGGGAGAGCCGAGGGAGAGGAGAGAGAGAGGGAGAGAGTCAGAGCACACACACACAGTCGCTCACTCTAGACGACTGAGGGTCGGACGCAGACACAGTGGCAAGGCACAAAGTCGAAGTCTTGGATTCCGAATGCCGAAACAGCAAGTCACACTGAGTATGAGTACAGCAGCAGAAAACTGGTACGAGACTGGTCCCCGTACTGTATGGGGAGCCGGTACAAGTACCGGTGACACGTACGGTACCAGGGGCATTTCAGCAAAAGCCTCGAGGGCAGAACTGAAAAATGCGGAATTTGAAAGTGGCGCCCGAATTGCAGCATGGCGCCAGTTGTACCAAAGGAGGGGTTTGAAAAAAGGGTCCCAGGCCGAAAACGGGATGCAGCAGAAACAGCAAAAAGATGGCCCAGGGATCGAGCCCTGGCGGAGTCCGAAACAAGGGACCTTTCTTCCGTGTATGATGTCCCTCCTTGCTGTGTGACGTGTGTGATGATGATTGTGGGAGTCGGGTCTGGATCTGATGTGTCAGGTCATATCTTTGAGCCTTCCGCTGCGCTACATTGCATTATCTCGTTTCGTTTCGAGTCCTGTTCATCACACTGGCGCTCCTTGGACATCTGCACCGTTAATCTTCAGATGTGCATGCATCAACAGGCTAGCGCTCAAGCAGCGGTAGTGTAGGCCGATGCAGCTCAGGGTGGCACTTGTGTAGCGGTAGACGAGCAAAAGAAGACAAATTTACTACCTTTAGAGGTCGTGTGAATTTAAAAACCGGTAGGCCTAGGTCTAGGCGGGTACCAGTCCAAGTAGGCTGAGTCTAGGGCCTTGGTGCTCGGCACCCAGACTACAATCACACAGCTTACTAGCAGCCTACAAGTTGACAATGCATGTGGTTGACGTTAGCAGCAGAACCGAAGTACATGAAGATGTTACTAGCAGCCTACAAGTTGACAATGCATCTGGTTGACGTTAGCAGCAGAACCGAAGTACATGAAGATGTCGACCCTTGTAGACCATCGCCAAGACCAGGTATGTGCCCTCTATCATCAACCTCATCTCTCTCTCTCACACACTTGACTTCATCACCCACGTCTTCTTCCTCTTACACGAAGACCACCACCACCTCCCGCTGACTGTCCAAGCCCAAGCCCGGCTACGTGCGCTGGGCTATGGCGCTGCCCTCAGCAGCGCCCTGCTTACCGCACGCACGCCATGCACTAGCGCAGCAGCCCGCGAGCGCTAGCTCTAGCAGCATTGCCGCATCAGCATGCAAGTGCTCAATCCCTCTCCCCGGCGCCCTGCCCTTTCCTATATGGAAAGTGGCAGCCGCTTTCACTCGCTTCCTACGTGAGACCAAGTTTCCCGTAGCTTCGGTCTCGGCCAAAGTGTCTGCGCCTAGGCCTGTTCAGACAGTGGCCTGGGACCGAATTGGTTAGGCATGCCCAACCAAGGTACAAATCTGCGGTGCTCCCTGCTTACGTCACGTGGTGGAAGAGCCTGGAAGGCTCACAAATATTTTGGATTCTCACGAGCAAGACGGATGTAACCAAGTTAAACCAACTGGCGTGTGGCAACTGTCCGGCGCCGACCAAGATTTGCAAAAATTGACGAGTTCAGAGCGCATTGAGGTTCAGGGGGGCCGCCTTCACTTAGGGCGGGCACACACTTGCTGCAGGGCCCTATGCCAAGGCAATAACGCTCGCAGCACCGAGTCTGACACATTAAACCACTGGTACGTATGACCCTTCCCTTGCGTAGCCGGGAAACACCCTGTGCACCAAAACCAAAAAAAAAAAAAAAAAAAAGAACTGGCACATTTTCTTTTCTGGCTGGTGCCACCAGCCATTTAGATCCAGTAGGTCGTGCCCCAAAAGTTGCAGTGCATTAACAGCGACGTCGGAGAAAAATGAGCAGGAAACGTACACGTGGTTAACAATATTACTAGTACCAGTACCCGTCGGGAGCAATAGTTTGCCTCACCGAGCAATGGGGGGTTTAAATCCCCCTCACGCAACAGTGCAGGGTTCACCAAGGGGCCCCTTTCCAATTCGTCTGCCAAGACTGCACAGTGCAGGAGGACCGAGCCTAAACTACCGTCTTCACCTGAATAGGACGCCCGATCATTATCGCTGCATCTAGACTGACAGATGCCCAAAATACAGCTATAATGACCAGGCGTTCTACTTGGGTGAAGAAGGTAGCTTTTTTTAGCAGGCAGTGCAATAAGTACAAAGCAATACAAACAATGAGCAATACCTGACCACCAGTTCTGGCATGTATCATGATCGTCAGAACTCTTGGATCGATGTTTTTCGGGCGTTATCAAACCAACAACAACAGGCCACAATTCTCCACAGCAAAGAGCAACAGAAACACTGACGTAGCAAACCCCATCCCGCCATCCACAGGAAGATAGGCGGCGAAGAGCAAAAGGGTCACCTTAAGCGCTGGTGAAACAATCGGGCATCAAAAACTGGACAGGCACAGAGGAAACCAGGGGACGCGTTTCTACCTTTTTGCCTGAAGGAAAGTCTGCCCCCCTTGTATATGGCCACAATGTTTGGATGATGGGGGCTCGTGCTGGCACTTCAATACAGGTAGGATGAGAGATGACTAACTTAAGGCCATTGCTGTGTAGACTGCATGATGCAACAGTTCTGAGACCCAAGAACAGGAATGAATGGTCACAAACAGGCTGGCCAGATTCTGTGGATTTCTGCCAGAAGTCAAACTTCAAAGCGCACCAACACAATTAGAAAGATGACTAGTGCCATGCATAGTTATCAAGGGGGCGAGGGGAAAAAGAAAAAAAAAAAGAGGAACAAGGACCCTAATTCAAGGCCATTACCCTCTACTCACTTACCTGAATTCAAGAAAAGCCCTTCCAGCTCCCATTTCATAAAACGTATCACATACACTTGAACAGTGGTGAACGGTGAGGCCATGATAAACCCTCAATTGTCCCATTTGTATATATTTTTTGTGCTCCTTCATCTCCACTGTCTATAATTTACTAGCATGGCAGTTACAATGTGTAGTGCCAGTGTTTTTTTCCGTTATCAAATGGGCGTCAGCGAATGAATCATGAACGGACTCCGAACTCCAAAGACCTTCGGCAGAGGGGTGTGGTTGTGTCATTGTATGTACCTGTGCACGACTTGCAGGTGGAAAGGAACCAGACTGTCGCTCCCCAGAATGGGTATGGATCCAGGTCCATTACATAGGGGGGGGAGGTGGGGGGGAAGGGCGCTGGTGGCCTCCTGCCATCCACGTGAGATGCAGCATGAGGAGGCCGCTACACGGGCCCCGTTTTGGGGCCTGCTGCGTAATTCAGTTTCGTCTGATGTAGTCCAGGTTCAGATTTGTCCGTATGTGGGACTGGACCAGGCATTTGTCTGTTTGTGCCTGGCCCAGTCCTCAGGACCCAGCTGCATCAGCAGGATTGCCTGGACCTCCGGTAGGGACCCAGGCAGGCCGTTTTTGGCCAGGATCGTAGGACCAGAACTGGGGCCTGCGATCAGGACCATCGATCGGACATCAGATCCGACTGTCCTCATCACAGACCGAGGACTGCTCAGCCAGGCCCAGCGGTATATAGCTGGGCCAGTCCTCCACTTTGAGGACATTCGGGCCGGAGCCTCCTTTGGGCGTGATGCTGCTGGAGCAGCGCCAGTTCGGTGAGAGCTGCTATAGAGCAGTGCTGGAGGATTAGAGGAGTAGGCTGGAGTGGGAAGGTTTGGCGGAGGCCATGTCCACGAGGGAGAGAGAGACTTACCTGGGCGCCCTAGCTGGGACTTCATACCGGTCATGGGACTGGCCTTCAGCAGCGACCTGCATCGGGAGTCCTGCGCTATATTGCATTATCTCGTTTTGTTTGGAGTCCTGTTCATCACATTGGCGCTCCTTCGACATCTGCACCGCTCATCTTCAGATGATCATGCACCATGAGACCTCTCTGGCCACATGGGGCCATGGGCAGCCTATCTCGTTTTGTTTTGAGTCCTGTTCATCACATTGGCGCTCCTTCGACATCTGCACCACTCATCTTCAGATGAGCATGCATCATGAGACCTATCTGGCCACATGGGGCCACGGGCAGCCTAATAGATAATGAGAGCTGTGCAAAGATCAAGAGACACACAACATCCCTCGTGAACGATCGGTAAGGAACTCGCAAAATTCAATCACCTTCAACATGCATCACTCCCACACACACTTGATTGATGGATGCGCTTCACACACTTGACTGGAAGGTACACACTAAAACATCATAGCCAAGAAGTATTCACAATGACATGGTGGTCCTGGCAGAAACAGACGTCGAGAAGAAGGATATAGTGTGCATGAGGTGGCAGAACACTCACCGCAGTAGACGGCATTCCTGTGCCCACGATGTTTTGTGAGAATCTGGATGCGATCCACAAGGACTGTTGGCGGAGCGAGGGCATAACTTGCAGCCTTGACAGAAGGCAGACGATTACAAAACCGAGCAAAGCCACCACCATTCTCCCTCAGCATCAGTGCATGCTGTATAGATGCATGGCTATGAGGGAATCGGAACACAGGCACTCTTGGTTTCGGTATCCCTGCCTCCACAGACTTCTCTGCTGCAGTTCATCAAAAACACATTATGCAAAACGACCAAATCCAAAAAGGCAGAGAGACAGAATACCACTTTAGAACCCCCCATCACCTACAGAAACTGAACACTGCCCCCAACCTATTTGAAAAAACGGAGGAGTGGATTGAGATCTCTCTTTTTATATGTAGAAACAGTAGAAATAAGATCAGGCGACAAAGCTTCCAAGTTCACCATTGCTCTTTTGACTGTACGTCAGAATCAAAGAGACCACTCCTGTCTGCCAACTGCCCACCCAGCTTGTGCATTTTCATTCAGCCCTGAACAACAGCGATCACATAAACAGAGCAGTCAGCAGCCAATGCCATGTCTGCATTACGGTGTTCAGCACACAGATTCATGTTTGGCTGACAATGCAACAAGACTGGAGCGGGTTTAAACCACCAGTACCTCCGAGCCTGTTTTTGCCGACCCTGAATATCACTGCGCTCCAAGTTTTGCCGAGCCTGGGTCCCACTCCATTTTCTTTCAGGTACTCTCACGAAAAGAAAAAAAATTAAAAAAGGTTGCGGTCATGAAAATCACAAAAGAAGAAAACAAAGAAAGGGAAATAAAGCTTTGGTCGTGATTGCAGTTGTATAAATTTTTGGAAGTGGTAGTGTGAGTGTGCCCTCAGTGAGGGCATCTCAGCCCCGTGGCCAGGTTGTCAGATTCCAAAAAGACAAAAGAGAAAAAGAAACAAAACACGGAGTACGGCTGTGAAAATGGCTGGATGCATTCCTCTAAGTGCCAGTATGATGAGCACAAATCCTCTGAGGAAACACAGCTTGAGCAGATCACGGATTCCGCCCTGCCTCGTTCGCAGGGGACTCGTAACAAAGACACGAGAAAGAAAAAGAAAAAAAAATACCACATTAACAATGTGACCGTGTTAGCTGTAAGACTGTGAGCACGGCCTCCTAGACTACCCTGCCCGACATCATTGCGATAGAGAAAGCATTTTCTTTTTTTTCCTTTCCCTTTCAAGCGCGGGCAATAGGAAACTAAGATTTATGGGACTTGCCGACCCTGGGTCCAACCCCCAAATTCTTCGGGAACAGGCTAAAAGACATAATTTCCCAACACTGGCGGAGGTACTGGTGATTTAAGGACCCAAACAACACACAATCGTGGTCATCATGGTGACAACTTCATGACTGTCTATAGCTATATAGCATACTACATGGTTGAATAGGTCATAAATAAATTGTGGGTGTCTACAGCCAATCAATGTTGGATGACTTAAAGCAAGGTCATGTGCGGGCAGCATTACCTCATTACAACCAGCAAACCACAGGTAGGAACCTCTTGCCAGTTCAATCACCTCATGTAAGACATTTTTTAGCCCTAGAGACAGCACAGGACATGCAACTTTCTTATACCCAGTACTTGACATGACATGCACCATCATGGTTGGTCTAACAAAGAACATCAGATTTTGCCAGCTTGGCTAGACTGAAGCAGCAGAAGTAGAAAGCACAATGAACTCACAATACGAAGACATATTTCCTCCCCCAGCGAAGTTGGAAGATCCTGAATGATGGTTGTCCTCACTCCTAGGGGTTAAATAGGGCAGTCTCCTTCTGGAGCATGAAGTTAATTTCATATTCCATAAAGGCTTTATCCAGTTCAAGCTAACTTAGCACACAGCCGTGGCAGTAGAGGTCAAGACAAGTAACTCACAGTCCAGAAGAGAGAATGTGTGAGTCCCCAGTAAGGTCGGAACATCTGCAGCAGCAGGTATCTTCATCCTGTTACGCTCCGTTTGCTTAACAGCCTTCGCATCGTTCACCAGGAGCTGCTTTAGCAACTTCACAAGATGGTCTGATGAAACATGCTTGAACCTGACAGGCACAACATCCAGTATGCAAAGCGCCACAGCCACTCTCAGAAGTCCATCTACCTTTCGTCAAAGATGCATGAGAAATACCCATATCATGCAGCTGAACGGTACACAGAATTACATGCATGTAACTCTCAGCAAACATGAGGTCAAACCCTGATGGGTACAATCATGGTAGCGGCAGGACGGGACACACATGTAACTGTTGATAAACACACAAGTTCAAATCCTGGTAGAAACGGACGGGGGGAATGATGGTAGCGCTACCTCCTTGCTAAACGTACGGAAAGAAGGAAAAACGCATCAGAAATTAAGAAAAGCAACTGGGACAGAAAACAACCTCTCTTCTGCAAACCAATTCACACCACTGCCTCTCGTCTGAGAGTGGAGTGCCAACCAAGGCACCTTTGTGATCCCAACCTTCACTTTAACCCATAGGGCATCTAGCACACCAATCTGCCTGCAGCAATCTCTCAGCCACAACCGGCCAAACTCATCTACCATCCATCAATGCAGGGCAATTTGCATCAGTTGTCTGACATTTTGGCATTCATTGAATGTGGTCCACAACATCCACCCCAGTAATCTGCCAACCACAAAGTTTTTGGCAGACCTGAAAATGTCAGTCAACATCACCAGCCCTTAAGCCACCAGTACCTAGCCCAGCTCTGCAGTCCGACCCTCGGCCTACCAGTATGCCGAGCCTGCCGAGCCTGGAGGTACCAGTAGCAGGACACGTCGAACCTGGAAGAACCACTAGCAAAAAAAAAAAAAAAAAAGGAGGAGAAAAGAAAGCAACAACTCTCGGGACGCGAATGCAGTTGGATACATTCGGGGAGGTGCTATTGTGAGCATGCCCTCAATGAGGGTGTCTCAGCTCTCCCCCGTCCTTGTTGTCAGAAGCACAAAAGTAAAAGATGACCAAAAAAAAGGGGATACCGCTTTTGCCCTGAAATTGGACAGATGCATTCGTCGAAGTGCCAGCAGATCACGGAAACTGCCCTTCCTAGGTGACGGGGGACTACTCAAAAAGGAAAAGAATCAAAACAACAAAAAAAACAGCATCGCGAATCTTCCTGTGAATTTAGTTAGATCCATTTTCGAAAGTAGGAATCAGTAGCACGGTCTCTATGACTATCTAGGCCCGACAACAAAAGTAATTTTTTTTCTTCTTTTCCTTCTTATTTTTCCCCTTACAGCGGGCGACCGGTTCCTCAGTGCCCCGACCTCCGTCCGACGCGGCACTTTAACAGCTGCGTCGGAGAAAACAAGCTGGGCGAGGTACTGGTGGTTTAATCATCTGACGAAACAAAATCAAAGCTACCCTCTACCAACGGCATGTGCAGCAGGAGGTTTCCCGCAGGCTCGAAACGTTGCTCAAAAGTAACATACCGACCCACCTCCCACACACTGTTGCATACCGTAACGGTACAGACCAGAATAAGAACCGACCTCTCTCACAAAGTACAAGATAACACAGCGGAAGGCTTAAATACCAATGATCCGAACAATCAGTGTTGCCATGCAGACCAAACATACATCATCATCATTCCATGGTGTGAAGGGGCCTGGCGCTCACACAGGAAGAATGCGCCAGTCCCCAACTATACACAGACGAAGAAGAGGGGGATTAGACGAAGAAGAGGGGAAGATGGGAATGTCGTCAACACACCAAGTCTTCGGTACAGTCCCAAATAATCCCTCGTCAAATGTCTGAATCCCAATGTCAAGTCTGGATCCAAATGTCGTCAAATCCCAAAGTCACCAATCTCTCTCTCTC